ATCTAACACTTATTAGACATACAACCGAAAAAAAAAATACTTTATCTAACGTGTTTATTTTTAAGTCATCACTAACAACCATACAACTTCCAAGTAGTCAATTGATTAACACCACAATTACTAATTTATTGTCTTCTACTCGGACTTTTTGGAGCAAAGCAACAAGCCCCTGCCTCCTGGAACTTGTATATAAGCAGTGCAACATGTTCCTAATCTTACACAAGCAGCAGAGAGCCAAAGATACATATCAACTGAATTAGCCATGAAATCGCTTGTAAACACACCATTCCTCATTCTCTTCTTCCTCTTGGTCGTATCTCAATCTGCTTTTGCCTCCCGAAAAACAATTAATCCTCAGAACCCCTGCAAACGTATGGTCCTCTATTACCATGACCTCCTCTTGAATGCCAATGGCACCGATGTGGATAATTCAACCTCTGCAGCCATCACCAACCCTGCCAAGCTGGGCAACAACTACGTCTTCGGCAAGCTCATTGTTTTCGACGATCCGGTGACCAAAGATCAAAACCTGCATTCTCCTCCGGTGGCTAAAGCACAGGGACTGTATTTCTATGACATGAGAACCGATTTTACTGCTTGGTTTGCTTTTTCTCTTATCTTCAACTCCACTGAGCACAAGGGGATTTTAAACATCATGGGAGCTGACCTGATGATGGAGAAAACAAGGGATTTCACCGTGGTGGGAGGAACAGGGGATTTTTTCATGGCTAGAGGAATTGCAACTGTTACCACCGAGGCCGCTGAGGGAATCAAGTATTTTCGCCTTAAGATGGATATTAAACTGTATGAGTGTTATTAATTTTTCAACATTAGTTATTCCCATGCTTTCATCGTATTAATTTCTATGTTCTGCTCTGATTTTGTGTCTCACAGCAAGGATTGTGAGTTATGTTTGTGGTAATTTTGATAATTAAGATCTTATCTTGTGTTTGAAACTTCGAATGTACTCCCCTATTAATAAATTTCTTTTTGCTGATGAAAAAATTTCAATATTGGTCGACGGTGTTGCTGCGTTAGGGGCATGTTCTAACCCAATTAATTTGGTCCAGCACTTGCCTCTGTACTTGTTCTGCGTTTACCAAGCAATAATAAATGCTTTGTGAAAGCAACTCTAGTAGCTTTTTTGTTAATAGAAAAATGATAAGATGCTAGCTTGATTATGCTCATTGCTCACACAATATAAATAAAATTTCTTATTATATATATAAAATAAAATAAGATTCATCGAAAGAAAGTAACATTTAATATTACAGATACATTTTATTTAATATTAAGTATGTATAATTTAATATTGTTCAAACTATATAAACTTTTTTTATATAAATATCTCATTCAAGGGAAGCATCACATCATCAATATCCATTTCAACCATTTCTTCTTTTATTTTTCCTTCCACTAAAAATGAGTAT